ACAAAACAAAACAAAACAAAACAAAACAAAACAAAACAAAACAAAACAAAACAAAACAAAACAAAACAAAACAAAACAAAACTGAAAAAAATTTTCATTTAATGTTTAGTGTACCCTTAGTTTTAAGACTTTTAAACATGTTTAGGTATACTTACAATTAAATCCACACATAACTGTGATGAGTTCTTATTCAGGGACAATGGTATTGTAATATGAATTACAAATTAGGTAATTGTGGGCTCGAGTTTTAGTGGGATGGGACAAGTACCAAATTTGATTGCTGTGGTTCAAGGCCAATGAGAATCCTCTATTTTGAGTGATGTATTAGTAACTGTAAATAATTGCCTGCCATTAATATCACAATATTGCATTGAAACTCTTCTATCTGCATTTGATTCTATTTCTCTACAGACAATATGAAAATATAAATATGCACTAAGGTCCAACAGATTTATGGATTGCTATAGTATGACAGGCAGAATTTGGCATTAAAAAATATAAGAGTCATAGAATGGTTCCTGAAACGATTTTTGAATAAAATTAATATAGTTGATCATTGACATTTTAGTAATGATTTCTCCTTGAAAATTGAAGAATTAGATGCATACAGTCATACCTGCTTATATCCCAGGCTATGTTCTTGGGCAAATATCTTGACTATGTGCAGAAATTCTATACCCCCTCCCTACCATGGTACCCAGCAGTAATCTGGTTAAAGTACAGTGTGCCATGTACATTGTGTCCAACACAACTGCTATTGCTGAATGAAGCATGAGCATGTTTGTTATTTATCCACTAATGATGATTGATGGAATTATGACCTTTCTATAATCATTATTTACTTCTACTAATGCTGCCAGCTTGCTTATGGATCTGTAATAATGCATAGAATCTATGTGGTGCCGATGTTTTCAGGATCAATATGATTGATTGAATATACTGTCACCATTGCTGTCTATTACTATCACCTAATATATTATACTATCACCACATACTGTACATTATAGTGGAATTAATAAGTTTATGAATGAGCAGCTTTATGTTGACAAGAGGCACATAGCAGAATACTTTGACCAGGAGAATTTGATAATGTGTGTGTGTGCATGTATTGGTGGGTTTTAATTAGGGGAGGGAATAGGAAGTGATACATATAGACATATAATAGGATGTCCATATGACAAGTAGGTATTTGAGGGGAGTTGGAACAGCCACAGAGTGGACGTTTTTGACTTTCAAAGACACAGCATGATGCAACGATTAAAATATTTAATACTGATCATAAAGAAATGTAAATGCATTATTATTTAGGTAAACTTAAACTAGCCTTGTGAAGACTGAAGTGTTGGATCCTGTAAATAGAGAATACTGGAATGAAATATTCTTCCCAACATTAATGACACTTTATTACAGGGGGTTAAGATACTCCACCTTCAAATAAAGATCCTCCTTGAACTAAGAGAAGAAGAAAATGCAAGGTTATGCAATATTAATATGAATTTCAAATAACTGAGGGCCTGATTGATGACAAAATTTTAAGTAATGACTAATAAATGATACTTGGCAGCGGTATAATAAGGGCGTTTTCTCTTTCTATTTCACGTTTTATTATCAATGGAAATTGAATTGATGTCCTGGTCCTGTAATAGTAATAATCTTTAGAGCTAGACGTGTGGCATAGATGTAATTTATTTATAATAGCTTTTCTTGAAACAATCTCGTCAGGATATTTTCAAAAAATCTAACAGGAGAATTCAGGGAAGTTGAACAATCTAGCGGAATCTCGTGACGAGATCGATACTAATCGAAATTTAGTAATGTTTTCTGATTGTAAATGTCACATGGTTATCATCGGGACATTTTTAAAAAATGCAAATTTCTGTAAAGTTATCCTCGAATATTGAAAAAGTCCTTCATCATATTGAGAAAATATTAGGAGTCAAAGATGGAATACGCAAATGGGTGGCTGTAAAGTGTGATTGTTATGTCGATTTTCTACAAGCTCTAGATATCTGCAAGACATAGTTAACTACAGAACAGCTGTCAGGACAAATAACCCACTACTCAAGAGAGCTGCTTTTTCACCTGTATGGTCAGGCCGACATCACCCGATATACCGTTTGATAGACGTCGCAGATGAAGCACAATTGATGCACTCGGTCCAACTATATGAAAAATATAGAAAGCAACTCTCGATCGGGACTTTTTAACCAACATCAAGGGTTAGACGCCGTTTGGAAGAAATAAATAAGACATCATTGGAAAATTGTTGCACGTAATTCTTGCAGGTAATTAAATTCTTTGATTAATAACATTCAGATCTATTAACTACGGAACAATTTCTTCGAAACGGTTTGCGTAAATTATAATAACCAAGCTACTTTTTCGCTTTCAGCATACAAGCGATGGATCGGTTATAACGATTTTTAAACAGTTGGCCCGAGGATCCTTCCATAAATTCTCAAATCCACGCTCAAATGTTCAACAAAACGCGTTCCCAAACACCCGTGCGATTTTCTTCACAATCATTCTCTTCAAACGATGAAACGACACAGCAACCATCCCACGTACATATACACGGAGTAGACAGACGTAACCTTAAAATGCCAGAGCTTTCGAGCCTGCTTGAGAAAAGACAAATTTCTTAATCCGACAGATGAAAGAAGTGAGTATAAAAGCTTAGGGGATGAATATGATTGATTTTGTGTGTCTTTTATTAAGGCACAGCCATGAATATTATTGAGTGCACAGCCAATCAGGAAGTTCAAATAGTCAACTATATTCCGGTTTACACACATTGATTAGGTGATTTGGCTGATATCCCAATATTAATATTTAATTTTGTATAATGACTGATGTCAATTTTACTGAAAATTTGACAAGAATATATTGAATTTCACAATAATAATAACAAATCTTCTTTATTTAGGCCAATACCAATTACCAAACAAGAAGCAATTGTGCAAGAAAATGATGCAAACATGTCAAAGGTGGAAATTGTTTTGAAGATAGAAACTCTCCTTGTACAGATGAGTGAGAGTGTTCAGAAAAAGTATTAGTATAGCAGAATTAAGTCTAAAAGGCATGATGAGTTATTAAAAATATTGGAAGACCTAAAATTTTTATTCAACCATGATATTAATATGGTGTAGGACATCTATAGCCCGAAATAAAATACCCAACTTTCAAAACCCTAATACTAAGGCTTTTATATTAGAGGGTTTAGAGAAAATTAACCCATAATAATAAGAATGATAGAGCAGACAAAGCAGAATAAAACTTACAGTTTAAAATTTTTAATCAACTAAAAAAGTTTCGAGTGTTAGGCATTTGAAAAGCAACAGTTTTCTTAAGTTTCTTAAGGAAAAATGGAACTCCCAGGATTTATCTCTCCACTGGTAGTCCCTACTCCACGTGGACTACATGGACTGCAACTCAACAAGACTGTACCAGACAATAACTCCTCTTTGATGCTTGTTGTCGTCGAACATATAATTCGTTGTAGTTTGCTCACATTTATTCGATTTTATCTAGGTCAATTCAGTGGACATACTCAAACCATCAAGGAAGTGATTAAGGGTCTTTATTCGAACTTGTTCATTTTGAATTTTCATTTTAGGGTGAGTAAACGATTTGGAAGGTTGAGCGTTAAGTGATGATTAATAAGTTTTTGGTATTGGATACAATAGTTTGCCAGCCGGCATATTTCTAACATACTTATGTAATTTGCAGTCACTCCACATTGACGACGACGAAGAGTGGTCATCGACAGAAAATGATTATACAATCGATATGTGAAACGACCAGAAGAACAAGACTTACGTCTAACCCACGAAGTAATACGGTTAAGCTTGGACTTAAGTCCGAATGGATATTAATTAACCATTCTTTGATGAATGGGTTGCGTGTTGATGCATCAGTGTAATATTATAATTACGGGCAGTTTTCCGCGTTACGTGTGTGTTATTTGCACTTGTGTTTCGTTTTTTTAGATATACGTTTTGAAAACTATATTGGTAAAAGAACAACTTGTATATTTGGAAGCATGATACAAAGGATGTTTATTCAGTACAATGAAAATGGCGATTTTGGGTTTTAAAAGGATATTTATTCTTAATTATTAATAAGAATCCCCACAACTCGCGTCTCCATGGTCCCTTCCCATCTTCACTCTACTGCACATTTCCCGTATGGCCCACCCGCTCTGTTTGCCATACATTCTGCGCTCCATCTGCTCTGTACACCATTTCCACTCTGCGACGGAATCTGGGGCCAGTATCTGTCCATTCGCATTGGAAAAGCTAAATGTAATAAATTTATGATAGTATAACATACCATAATTTCAAGATTTCGTGTCCAATTAGTAGTTCATAAATCTGCTCGTCCGCACTACTATAACTTGCGGTGGTGCATTAAAATAGTAAAATAGTAATATTTGTAATTAAGAAGTTTAGCAGCATTTGAAATTTATTGGTCGGAATAGAGAGTAAAAAAATGAATATTGGTATAACAAAGAACGGCTCTCCTCTCCTGAAACCCGTGAACAGAATACTCAATGGTGAGGTTTCTGTTGTACCTACTCCCTACAGTTTTGCAATGTTAAATGTATGGGTATTATACACGTTTATTATCTCCATCGGTAAAATATACGTACTTAGGGTTAAGGATCGACAAACGATCTGCAGAGAAGAACTATATATGTTGGGAGTATTTATGTAGTAGCTTCAGGTGATATAAAGCAATCTTGTCAGTGAAACCAAATTACAGGGCAAATTTGCCTGCAAATACAGTTTAATATTATTAAGGGCATTTTTTAACACTTCTTGTTGACACATACTATTATTTATTGATGAGTACTGCATCATTTCATTTCTTTCAGATCCCTTGAAAGAACTACTCTTGACAGAAAAAAACAATGATTCATATTTGGGATGCCATAATCTACAGTTTGGCTGACTGAGGAGTGTCAAAAGCCAGCTCCGACTCAAAGAGCCTTTAGGTATTACATCTCAAACTGACCTTTGTATGTATGAATAGAAATGATTTGGATTAAGAGTGAATACTAATACTAATTGATACTTTTTTTTCCTCACATGTATGAAAGAAGACTTTGTGAAAGGAGATAATGTTGAGTCAGATAAAAGTATGTATTAACATTGATTATTATTGTGAACTGCTGGTAATGTGCAATCACAATTGATATCTTGCTCACAAAATATAAATTTGCATCTTTGACAACAGCGATGCATCTCTGGCAGAATCTTCAATATATGATGATGAATATTCATTGTCAATGCAGTGATTGCAGAGATCTCAAAGTGCTCAATAGCATGACCTTAACTTCAGTATGGTCCCAGTATAATTTTCCATTAATTTTTGGATTAGGATCAAAAAATATCTCCAGTGATTGGTTTGTCCTCATTGACATTACTGGATTATTCCCATCTGGCAGATGTGGTTTTTGGAGAACATACCTCAGTCTTACCATATGATCACAGAATCCAAAATAGAACATTTGCCTTGGCAATTATTATCAATACTATAACAAATACAGTCAAGAGAAATTGTTCAGGACAGTGAAGAATGACAAGTGCTCAAATGACAATCACACTTTATTCCTGCCTGTTTATGGAATAAGGCTGAGCTGCTTGCATATTAATATAACAACAAAGCCAACATGCATGGTTCTCCAAAATGTGTTTTTATATATACAGAAAATGTTATATTTGTGAACGCGATGGGCTATTCCTGAGGGTTCTTCTCAGCATCACTTTATGATGGGCTTGATGGGCTTGTGTGATTAACGATTATACTAGTCGTAATTGTATTAGCCGTTACGTATACGAGTCGTCACGATAACC